CAAACTTGTTTGTGTTAACTGGCTGAGAGAGGGATCAGTTCCTTGGATTCCTCTACTTTTATTATCAGTTTTGATAATTCGAAGAGGACAGTTAGGGTTGCTCCACACTTTCTAGCAAGGGACCCAAGGAACCTCCCAAGGTAATTAGTCTGAGCACCTATCAGCTTGGTTTCCTGGGGGGAAAAAGGGACATTTGCTCTTCCGGGAAGCGTTTTCAGTGCCATCAGTCTAAGAACAGCCGTCTTCTTTCTGTCGCATCTCGGATTCCAGAGGTACGGCTTATCTCACGTTGTGCATGCACGGAGATTATTTGAGAGGAAACAGCGCTCTGTGCTGCTGAAGCACGAACAGCTCATGGAGCCTCGTTCTGCGGGATTTCCTCCTAACCAAAATTAACTCACGGACAAAGAAATCTGTGCCTGGGCCGTGGCCTTCCCTCCCCGGGCACAGCCGTTCCTCGATGACCCCACGGGGAACAAAGTGGCAAACAAATCCCCAGCTACGAATTTTGGTGCTGAACCAAACCCCTGCAGTTTACAGTGACAAATTCCCAGGAAAAAAGAGCTTTCCATCGCCGGTGGAACCACGCAGCTCCCTCCCTGCAGCCCACGGAGTAAAGGTTGCAGAGCAAAGAACCCAGGCTGTACCCTTTGCTCAGGACTTTGCTGTGTTTAAACGCCAGGACCTTACCCCTAAAGGGCTTTTAAATCTGATTCCACGTTCCTCAACCTGACGACAACTTCGCAAGGGAACCAACTGCTATTTATGTGTATTTGTAAATATGTTTCATTCAGCTGCGCATCCCCGCCAGCCTTGTTTAGGGCAATTTTAACAGGATCTGGCTTCTGGCTTCGGTCTCGCGTACGAGACGAGGAAGTTTTCATCTGTGCCTTTAAAAAAACCCCGCATCCCTGCCAAGATGTATTAGCAGAGCTGTTAAAAAAAAAAAAAAAAAGGAGCCATCCTGTTCCAGGAGCACGGGGCTTATGCAACGGGGAAATCCTAACAAAAAAAAGATACTCCCCCACCCCGCGCCCGCTCCTCCGTGGCACGTGCGGCTGCAAGCTTTTCAGTCGCTCCCTTTGCGTTTTGATCACATCTGCCACTGGTTTATTTAGAACTATTTACAAATACATTCTCCCACATCCCCTCCTTTTTGTACATGCCGTAGACTGTTTCTATAAAATGCAGTGCGGACCTCGCCTCTCCACCAGGATCTTTAAATAAAATATGTTGTAAAGTGCCGGATACGATTCTTTTAAAAAATACAGTTCTAATTAAAACGGGTTCTTGGCTGCCGCATTAGCAGCTTCAGATACCGATACATTTTTAGCACAACAGTCTGTTTCTGCCAGGTGAGCGGGAGCCTCTCGTCCCACCCCTCTAACTCTCCAGTTTCAGGTCCAAAGGCTTGAGAAAATGAGGCAGAGGCAGATTGTCCAGAGCCTCCGGGAAATGCTCAGGGGAAATGGTCCTGATCAAGACACGCATGGCTCCGACGAACAGCGACGGGGGAGCCAAGCCCAGCAGGGACTGGAACCTGCTCTCCCCCAGGAGGTCCTGCCAGCGCTGCCGGTTGTCCAACAGTTGCTGTTTCATGGCGAACGGGAGGTCCGGAGGCACAAAGAAGAAGAGGCAGTCGAGGCAGAGGAGCTTGGCACGCGTGTTGGCCGCTGGTGCGTGGGAGATCTGCTGCAGCAAGGTGTCGAGAGGGGTGTTCCCGGCGCCGTCCTGCAGGCAGGGCGAGGCGCCGTGCCCCAGCAGCAGCAGCAAGCACCCCAGTTGCCAGGCCACGTGCAAGGCCGTCTTGCCGCCCTCCACGCGGCTGCACCCCCGGCGGTCCAGGAGGCCGGCTCGCTCGCCGGGCGGGAAGGCTTGGATGGCCTTGAGGATTCGGAAGAGGACGCGGACGCGGTTGTAGCGCACGGCCATGGCCAGGTGCGGGGCCGAGGCTTGGCAGCAGCTGAAGCTTTGGCTGGGGACGGCCAGGGCGCTCTGGGGGAACTTGGTCAGCAGGTGCCGGGCGTAGGGCTGGTGGTCGTGGACCAGGGCGTAGAGCAGGGCCTCCGAGGGTGAGTACACGCTCACCTTGCCCCCGTCCTCCCAGTGGAAGACCTCCATGGTCCGCATGTCCTCCAGGAACCAGACGGGCAGCAGGTCCCTCACCGCCTGGTAGAAGGCGAAGGACGATTTCTTGCACTGCTTCTGGGACT